GCTGAACTAGTTACATTTTGGAGAGAAAATTTTATGACTGAAGATGTCTTAAAGAATAACATGATGGAAGAAGGAGAGTTTCTTTGATGAATGAAGGTGTCTTAGAGAACAACTTTTTGGAGAACGAAGATGAATTAGAGATCACTTTGATGACTCTGAGAATAACTCTGGTCAACGAATATGGATTGGAAAGTTTCTCTAATGAACGAAGGTGAGTTAAGATTAACTTTTATGATTTACAGAACATCTTTGATGTCGTAGATAACAACATTGATGTCTTAGAGAACAACTTTTGATGACTCTGAGAATAACTTTGATGAGTTTGAGAATGACTTCTGAGAACATGAGTAGTATTTTGTTAGCTCAGAGAATAACTTTTTGATGACATAGAGAATAACTTTGATGACTCTGAGAATAACTTTGCTGTCTTAGAGAATAACTTTCAGGACTTAGAGAATGTCTTTGATGAATGGAAGGTTACTTAGAGAATAACATATCATGACTGAGAATAACTTTTGATAGCTCTTAGAATAACTTTGATGTCTTAGAGAATAACTTTAGATGTCTCTGAGAATAACTTTTATGAACGAAGATGTCTGAGATTAACTTTGACGTCTCTTGGAATAACTTTTGTGGACATGAGAATATCTTTGGATAACTCTGAGATTAACTTTGATGTCTTTGAAACAACTTTGATGAACGAGAGTGAGTTAGAGATTACCTTTGTTAACTCTGAGATCAACTTTGATGAACAAAAGTGAGTTAGAGATTACATTTGATAACTCTAAGATTAACTTTAGATGTCTCTGAGACAAACTTTTATAACATAGAAATTAACTTTAATGACCAAAAGTGGGTTAGAGAATACCTTTTGATGACTCCGAGAATAACTTGATGAACAAAGATGTTTTGGAAAGTTTCTCTGAAGAACGAAGGTGACTCTGAGAATAACTTTTATGTCTTAGAGAAGAACATTGATGGTTTAGAGAGAATGTCTTTGATGAAAAATGATGTCTTAGATTAACTTTGATGACTCTGTGAATAACTTTGATGACTTTGAGAACAAGTTTGATAGCTCTGAGAAAGAGTTTGTTGTCTTAGAGATTAACTTTGAGTACTTAGCGAATTAATATGTTGAACGAAAGTGAGTTAGAGATTACCTTTGTTAACTCTGAGATTAACTTTGATGAAGGAGAAAATACTTTTTGATGGCATCGAGAACAAGTTTGATAGCTCTGAGAATAACTTTTATGCCTCTGAGATTAACTCTAATGAACGAAGATGTCTTAGAAAATTCTCTTTGATGAAAGGTTACTTAGAGAATAGCATTTTGATGACTGAGATTAACTTTTATGTCTCTGAGAATAGCTTTTATGCCTCTGAGAATAACTTTGATGTCTCAAAGGATGTCTTTGAGTGCAACTTTGATGTCTTTGAGTAAATTTTGAGTGTTTGAGAGTGTCTTTTGTTATCTCGAAGAGTAACTTTGGTGTTACGGAGAGCACCTTTGACTATTTTTCTTACTTAACGACATATAATTTTTACGAAAGTGCTGAAAAAGTTACATTTGACTATTTTTCTTACTTAACGACTTATAATTTTAGTTACGAAAGTGTTGAAAAAGTTACATTTGACTATTTTAGTGCTCCACAAAGTATAAATGTCAGTTAAGAACGACGATGATAGATATCTTTGGTTATTTTTTCTTACTTGACGAAAACATAATGGCTGTTACGAAATGATGAATATGACTTTTTCTGTTGATTGATGGATAATTTTAGTTATGAAATGACAATGAAACATGAAGAACACTGTTATTTTCTGATGACTAGGGAATAAGTTTAGTTATGAACAGTTTTGGAAAGTTTCCTTTGACAATTTTTTCTTACTTGATGAAACATAGCGGCTGTTAAGAAAGTGCTGAAAGAAGTTTCCTTTGACAATTTTTAGCTAAGAGAAAGGTTGTTTTAGTTAAGAACAGTGTTGAACGAGGCTATTTCTGACTATTTTTAGTTGACTGGATAATAAGTTTAGTTGAGAAATGACGAAAGTGACTATGTTTTAGTTGATTGGCGAAAGATTTTTTTAGTTAAGGAACGTTAAATAACATGTAAGGGGAAAAACCCAGAGAACATATGGGGAACATGGCAAAGAACATATGTAAGAAAAGTTGATGAATACAGTGAACATGCTGGGAATATGAACTTACAGAGAACATGAAAACATGATAAGGAGAATAGGGAATACAAAGAATGAACAATGGACTTGTGAAGAACATGGAGAATATGACAAAGAATGTAGAAAACATGTAAGTGAAGGTGAAAAACGAAGTGATCTTGTGAGGAACATGAACTTGTAGAGGAACATGAATATTGACAAAGAACACAAAAATATGGAGGTTAGCATGAATATTGAGTATAAAAGTTGTAAAGAGAACATGTGATGAACATGAAAACATAGAAAATATGACTAGAATTTGTAGAGAACATAATGAGACTAAGAGAAAGATTACAGAAAAAATGGAGATACTTGTGAAAATATGAACTGAATGGGACTGTGAACATTTGAAGAACATGGAGTGAACACGGATGAGAATACGAAGAACACAGTGAATATAGAGAAAATATGCAAATACAGTATGATTATTGAAGGTTTGGATAAGTTGGGGATGAGAAGATAAGGGAGGGAAAGGGTAAGGTGAGGAGATGGAGGAAAGGGGGTGAAAGGTAATTAGGTTCTGATAAAGAGTTAGGCTGGAGAGGGACTTGATCGAATATATTTATGTTCGATGATCTAAGACAGAGGAAATGGAGCTTGGCTAATGTCCTGATTAATTTTACTACGTTAGAAATAAGGTGATCTTAAATCTCAGGGTGATTTAGTTGAAAAATAAAGAACTTGTACAAAATGAACTAAGCTGGGGCACAAGAGTTGAAACTTGATAACTGAACTGGTTTTTATTTACTATGTCTGAAAATGTAGTTGGGTGTTTAAATCTCAGGGGGATTTGGACTGATAGTAATGAATTTACAGGAGTGAACTTGGACAGAGGACAAGAGCTAGAGTTTTATAATTGTTTACATCATATTTACTATGTCTGAAATACAGAGGGTAAAAATTTCAGGGAAATTGATGGGTTATTTACAAAGATACGAAAGAGAACTAAGGTGGGGGACGAGAGCTGGAGCTCAGTAACTGACTTGATCTTATTTACTAACTTTGAAGTATGTCTGCTTTTAAATTTCGGGAAATTGATGGGTTATTTACAAAGATACGAGAGAGAACTAAGGCGGGGATGAGAGCTGGAGCTCGATAACTTACTTGATTTTATTTACTAACTTTGAAGTATGTCTGCTTTAAATTTCGGGAAAATTGGTCTGTTACTAACGATCTTGTATAAATGAACTAAGGCGGTGGACAAGAGTTAGAGTTTGATAATTGTTTGGATCCTATTTACTATGTCCGAAATACAGAGAGTATAAATTTCAGGGAATTTGATAGGATATTACTGAAGACACGCGAGGGGAGTAAGGCTGGGTATGAGAGCTGGAGCTCGGTAATGGACTTGATCTTATTTACGGTGTCTGAAATACAGAGGGTAAAAATTTTGGGGAAATTGATGGGTTATTTTACAAAGATACGAAAGAGAACTAAGGTGGGGACGAGAGCTGGAGCTCGATAACTGTTTTGATCATATTTACTATGTCTGAAATACAGAGGGTAAAAATTTCGGGGAAATTGGACTGTTACTAACGATTTTGTACAAATGAACTAAGCTGGGGACAAGAGCTAGAGTTTGATAATTGTTTGCATTTACTAAACTATGTCTGAAATACAGCGGGTAGAAATTTCGGGGAATTTGAATAGGTATTAACGAAGATACGAGAGAGAGCTAAGGCGGAGGACAAGCGCTGGAGCTCGGTAACTAAATTACTGTATTGAAATACGTTTGAAATATGATTATTTTTAAATTTTAGAGGGATTGGAATGATAGTATTCATTATACGACAGGGGACTAAGGCAGGGAACGTGAGCTAGAACTTGCTTACTAACACGATTTATTTGTGTAAAACTGACTTGCTTAATGAAAAGGAGCAAACATATGATGTCAGAAAATAGCTGAACTGAATGAAAGGAGAGAGAGAGAGAGTGCAGGGACGGTCCAGATATTATTATGGAGAAGATAAGATAAGAGGCGACCTACACGAAGCGTCTGGCTGGCCGGGCGTAAGGTAAATAAAGGTGACGCGAGAGATTGCGAGGTAAGGGGGGAGGGAGGGGGTGTGAGGTACGAGACCTGAAAACCCTGGCTCACATAGGTGATTTTCTAAATTTACCTGAAAACTATGGCTTAAACAGACGGATTTTGTAAGTTGAAAACATGTAAAATATGTCCGTAGAGTTCTCCTGAAAACCCTAAAGCGCTACATACGATATTTGAATTTCTCCCATAAGACCTTAACAAACTTCTAAGTCTCGGAAATTATTTTCATCATAAGAAATCCTTACTTCTAAAATCTGTGACTGACAAAATTTACCTGAAAACCCTGGCTCACAGACACGATATTTCCCAGAAAAAAAAAAGGAGCCGCTGGCGCTTACACCTCACAGGGGTCCTCTGGCCAAAAAAAAAAAGGAGCCGCTGGCGCTTACACCTCACAGGGGTCCTCTGGCCTTATGATAGTAGAGAAAAAAAAGAGAACACCTAGCTGCCCACCCCCTCATGTAACACTAATGAGAAGGAAGGAAACTATCAGAGGAAAGCGCCAAACCATTACGACACTGGGAAGGGATCGGGATAAGGATTTGGGATGAAACGGGGGAAGGAATAGTACCCAACCAATTAGATGGTCGGGGATTAAACGCCGACCTGCAGGAAGCGATACTGTCGCTCTACCGTCGAGCCCAAGTAGTTGGGCTTGGCTAATGAGTATTTTTATTTTTTATGGGGGTAGAAGTGAGTGTGCTTTGTCACTCATACAGATGACTGGTGCCGACAGGAGTGTGAGGAATTGCTGCTAAAGTGCTGCGAGAACTTCGACTTGATCACGGTCTTCGACATCAACTCCACCGAGGGCATGGACAAGTGTATCCTGCAAGCACTTCTCAAGTACAAGGGCAAGTAGAGTACTCGTCTTCAAACCTTATACAGTCAAAGATAGTACTTGAAAATACATTATTTAAATTGAGTGTTAGGTGATTTACAATAATTTGAACGGACAATCAATTGAACAATTTAGTGTAGTTTCAAATATTTAATGTATTTGTTTATAGTTTAGAGTAGCTCACTAATGCTTAGCATAGTTCACATATACTGTGATAAAATATATAAGATAGATACAAAGCCGAACTCTCATGGGAGACATAGGATTTTGGTGTCTCCCATTTCCCTCCCATGATGGGAGAGATATGCTCCAGTAAGATTTGGGCAATAAGAATATCTCGAAGTATGGAAGGAATAAATACTGTATAGAAATATTGTGTATGGGAGAGAGATACTACAACGGGGGACAGGGAGCATCCCGTGATGTCAGTCGTGTATGGGGAGGGTAGCCAGGCTGGGTGGGGTATTGGGAGGGTAGCCTGGTTGGGTGGTGTATTGGGAGGGTAGCCTGGTTGGGTGGTGTATTGGGAGGGTAGCCTGGTTGGGTGGTGTATTGGGAGGGTAGCCTGGTTGGGTGGTGTACTGGGAGGGTAGCCTGGTTGGGTGGTGTATTGGGAGGGTAGCCAGGCTGGGTGGTGTATTGGGAGGGTAGCCTGGTTGGGTGGTGTATTGGGAGGGTAGCCTGGTTGGGTGGTGTATTGGGAGGGTAGCCTGGTTGGGTGGTGTATTGGGAGGGTAGCCTGGTTGGGTGGTGTATGGGGAGGGTAGCCTGGTTGGGTGGTGTATTGGGAGGGTAGCCTGGTTGGGTGGTGTATTGGGAGGGTAGCCTGGTTGGGTGGTGTATTGGGAGGGTAGCCTGGCTGGGTGGTGTATTGGGAGGGTAGCCAGGCTGGGTGGTGTATTGGGAGGGTAGCCTGGTTGGGTGGTGTATTGGGAGGGTAGCCAGGCTGGGTGGTGTATTGGGAGGGTAGCCAGGCTGGGTGGTGTATTGGGAGGGTAGCCTGGTTGGGTGGTGTATTGGGAGGGTAGCCTGGCTGAGTGGTGTATTGGGAGGGTAGCCTGGTTGGGTGGTGTATTGGGAGGGTAGCCAGGCTGGGTGGTGTATGGGGAGGGTTGCCAGGCTGGGTGGTGTATTGGGAGGGTAGCCAGGCTGGGTGGTGTATGGGGAGGGTAGCCAGGCTGGGTGGTGTATTGGGAGGGTAGCCAGGCTGGGTGGTGTATGGGGAGGGTAGCCAGGCTGGGTGGTGTATGGGGAGGGTAACCAGGCTGGGTGGTGTATGGGAAGGGTAGCCAGGCTGGGTGGTGTATGGGGAGGGTAGCCAGGCTTGGTGGTGTCTGGGAAGGGTAGCCAGGCTGGGTGGTGTATGGGAAGGGTAGCCAGGATGTGTGGTGTATGGGGAGGGTAGCCAGGCTGGGTGGTGTATGGGGAGGGTAGCCAGGCTGGGTGGTGTATGGGGAGGGTAACCAGGCTGGGTGGTGTATGGGAAGGGTAGCCAGGCTGGGTGGTGTATGGGAAGGGTAGCCAGGCTGGGTGGTGTATGGGGAGGGTAGCCAGGCTGGGTGGTGTATGGGGAGGGTAGCCAGGCTGGGTGGTGTATGGGGAGGGTAGCCAGGCTGGGTGGTGTATGGGGTGGGTAGCCAGGCTGGGTGGTGTATGGGGAGGGAAGCCAGGCTGGGTGGTGTATGGGAAGGGTAACCAGGCTGGGTGGTGTATGGGGAGTGTAGCCAAGATGGGTCCATGTGGTATTCACTAGGCGCCAGTGTTACTCGCCAAGTATCTTTGTTACTCACCAGGTACTTGTACACGCCTATTTCTGCCTACAAGATCGTGAATTGGCTCTTGGATCTCGCATTTCTAGCCGTCTGTTGTTTAAAACAGGCGGCTGGAAAGGCTTTCTGCTCTATAATACATAGATTTAAGGATATGAATAGTGTTTGTTTCCACAACTTGTTCCTTTAGCTCACTCAATTTCCCCACTATGCTAAAAGAAAACTTTCTAATATGTGTAAGACTCGTACGATTTTTCAGCTTCCACCCATGTCCCCTTGTTCTGTTGGTGTTCCGTGTGAACATTTCGTCTATTTGCACTCTGTCAATATCCCTAAGTATTTTGTTTGCTGCTATAAGATCGCCCTGCTCCCTCCTTTTTTTCTAACGTTGTCAGGTTTAGTTCCATCTGTCGCTCTTCGTATCCCTTCCCATGCAACTGAGACTAGCCTCGTCGCAAATTTCTGTACGTTTTACAGTTTCTCAAATGTGTTTCTGCTCCATCTGGATGGGGGCTCCATGAAAGGGCTGCATACTCTAAGACTGGTCTCATGTAGTATAAAGCGCTCTGAATGCCTCTTTACTTAGGTTTCTGAATGACGTTCTAACTTTGCTGCGTAGAGTACGCTGCTGTCGTTATGCGATTTAATATGTGCCTCAGGTGTTAAATTTGGTGTTACTTGCACTCCCAGGTCCCTTTTTTTAATCATCCCAGGAAGGTAATTTCCCTTCATTGTGTACTGACCCTTTTATTTTCTGTCACCTAGTGCAATTTCCAAAACTTTACTGGATTTCAACACGAGCAAGTGTAGTCATTTCTCTTACCATCTCTTCAACTTGTTAAAGTCCTCTTTGAGGATCCTACAGTCCTCATCTGTCATAACTCGTCTCATTATTTTTGTGTCATGCTTGAACACTTAAGACTCGACTCCTGTAGAAAAGTCGTTCACGTATATTAGAAATAGAACTGATCGCAGCACCGATTCTTGAGGTACTCTACTCGTTACGGTTCGCCAGTCCGACTTCTCGCCCCTGACTGTTACTCTCTGGCTCCTGCCAGTTAAGGAATTCCTAACCAAATTTTTCGCTTACTCCCGCCTGCCTCTCAAGTTTGAGTAACACTCGCCTGTGCGGTACTGTATCGAAAGTTTTTTGGCAGTCCTGAAATGTAGAGTCTGCCCATCCTTCCCTGTCCTGCCAAATTCTTGTTACGTTATTATAGAATTCTAGAAGATTTGTTAGGCATGATTTCCCTTCTCTGAACCCATGTTGGCGTTTGTTTACGTAACAAATTTACCCCTAAGGGGTGTGACCAATCATAACCTGATTATTAGCGCTCTGGTTATGACGCTTCGTGAGCGATTGGCATGGGCTCGTATCCTGGCTGGGGAGGATTGATTGGGTGCCAAACCTTAACTGTAGCGAGTTGACAGATCGTATTGTGGGGCAAAATTAGGATTAAGGACCTACCAGAAATGCAGTGCGTGATAGTGGCTTTATATGAATGTAAGAACCCTTGCCTAAAAAAAAAAAATATTCTTTAAAGTTCTTTTCAGGGTATACTGGTCAGTGATACTGGTCTGTAGTTAAGAGCCTCTTCCCTCTCTTTTTTTTGAAAATTGATACATTTGCCTTCTTCCAGCAACTGAGCAACTCTCCCTTCGTAAGTGATTAATTATAGATCCTTGCCAGAGGCACGCTGAGGGCCTGTGCTGCCTCTTTTAGTATCCACAGTGATACATTGTCTGGTCTAACTGCTTTAGTTACATCCAGTGTTGTTAGTTGTTTCATTGCCCCCTCTACTGTCACCTCTATGTTTGTAATCTCTCATCTTGTCATCTCCTCCTCTAACAATGGGAGCTGCTCAGGCTTGGTTGTGAACACTCCACTGAAACTGGCATTCAGTACCTCACAGATTTCCTTGTCACTTTCTGAATATGCCCTCTTCTGTTGTACATAGTCTTGTCACTTGGTCGGTCACCGACATTTTCCTTCTTTTGTTCTTATATGACTGTGTAGTAATTTAGATTGTCTTTTCACTTTAACTGCAATATCGTTCTTATAATTCCTTTTCTATACGCTCCTTATATTAATGTATTAATTCGTAGCTCTGCTCCATCTAATCCTATTGTCCTCTGTCCTTTGTACTTTCACCACTTCGTCCTACTTCTCATTTTTGCCTCTTAGCACACACTATTAAACCATAGGTTTTTATATTCCCTCCTACTCTTTTCTTTATTGATGATATTAAACTCTCTTCGGCCTCCTTGCATTTTCACTTGACAACGCCCTTCATATCTGTATCCTCATATCTGTACAGGGTGAGCAACATGTGTTACTTACCACGTAACTATTCTCACCTAGTTGTGCTGGCGGAGGTTGAGGTCCGGCTCTCATTAGGTGTTACTCATTAGGTGTCATTATTACTCATTAGATGCCTTTGTTACTCACAGGTGTCTGCTACTCACCAGGTACCTGAACTCGCCTAGTTGTACTCGCCTAGCTGTACTTGCAGGGGTTAAGCTCTGGCTCTTTGATCCCGCCTCTCAACTGGTGTACAGATTCCTGAGCCTAATGGGCTCTATCATATCTCTATTTGAAACTGTGTATGGAGTCAGACTCCACCTCATCACTGCCTAATGCATTCCATCTGTTAATTACTGACACTTTAGAGGTTATTTCTAATGTCTCTTTGGCTCATTTGGGTACTCAGTTTCCACCTTTATTTCCTTGTTCGTGTACCCCCCATGTTAAGCAGTTCATTTCAATCTACCCTGTCAATTCCTCTGAGAATTTTATAGGTAGTAATCATGTGTCCCCTAACTCCTCTCAGTGTTGAGATGTCGGACAACCTGACACAATTTACTAATATTAAATACAATCTGCAGATAATATTGCTGGGATGAATAAAGAAGTTAACCCATAGAAAATGAAGCCTATAGTTGAATTTTCCGTCAATAGAAAATGGGATATCATTGCCACATCGCTGTTAAAATACCAGCTATCCTGTAGGAATCATTCTTAATACAGCAGTCTTTGGACAGTTAACATTATAAAAGTATCTCACTTTAATCAACTTAGTGTAGACTAGTCTACAACTAGGGTAGACTGCAGTGTAGAAACCTCCGTTCGTTTCCGTGGAACGGAAAGGAAGCTACTCCAAGCCTGCACTAAAGAGGCACCCTTCATGAGTCCAGATGGGAAAATGTTTAAGCAAGTAGATGGAGTCGGCATGGGTTTTCCCCTAGGTATCCTGTTTACTAACTTCTACATGGGTACCATCCAGCAGAGGTTCTTAGTTGACATGGACTTGAGAC